AATAAAGTCGCTTAACAAATTTTTTTAGGCTACTTTTCTTTTCTTTTCTTGAAATAACTTTAAAAGATAACACCGAACCTTTAAATTCGTTAAATATTCCACTTTATTAATTAATAACCGTATTTTTAGAAAAGGGACCACTTTGTCGGAGATCCACTATTTTGTCATTGTTAAAAAATGAGGGGGGGGGGGGGGAATTCGAAACCTATTGATTTTCAATCTTAAGGGTGTACTAGACTTAAAACAACTATTATCTGAATAACTTCCCAGAAGAACCACAGATATTCATATTACAATCTTTGATTTCGTTTTTCTCGAAATGACGTATTTGATACTCCAAACTTTAAAATTCTGTAACTCATCGAATTTTTCACCAAAAAGGTTGTAAGACCACTCAAAATTTTCCAAATTTTGTCAGGAATTCGCCCATATAGATAAGTCCAATAGTGCCAAAGTGGTCCCTTTTCATGCGGACGTCCACAAATAATAACATTAAAATTTTTTAGAATCATTTTTAACAGTTTGTAGAAAACAATCAAGTTTAAAATTTTTAATCAAAACTCTTCAAAAAATTAATTAGTTTTTTTTAAATTATATACAAAAATTCTTCAATTATTTTCGAAAAATTACATTACAATATTTTTAAAACACTAATTCTTAGAATTGATTTATCATAATTTTTTAAGATTCTATTATCTTCGAACAATCTAAATTAAAATTTTTAAGAATTTACTTCTTTTGATTTATTAAAATTTCGGAGAAATAATGTTCATATTTATAATTAAAATTCTTCAAAAATTTGATTATTTTTTTTATTTCTTCAAAAATTAAATTAATTTTTCAAACTTTTACTAAAATTTAATTATTTTTAAAAGATTTTATCAAATTTCCATAATATTTGGAAATTTTTCAATAATTGTATATGAAATTTTTTGAAAAAAAAACTTTTTGAAGTTTTAAATAATTGAATTTGGAAATCAGTGAAAGGGGAAAATCAGGGAAATAAAAATAAAAATAATTTAAATAAATAAATTAATTAAATACAATTTTTGTGACAACGCTGAATTAAATAAACGATTTTGTTTCCATTTTTAATCGACTAAAGCGACTTTTTTGCCGAGGTCTGAAATTAAATAAAAATTCACAATGTTTATGATCCAATGATTGGAAGAGGAAAATATTTCTTACGCAGAAAACAATATTTTTTGTAACACACATTTTTATTTTTTGAATTGTCGATGAAAAAAATATTGTTACAAAAAATTACTCCTCAAAAACTTGAATAGAATAATATTTTTCCCATTACGTCGTTGGATTATAAACGTTATGAACTTCATCAAAGTTATAGAATTTTTCTTTTTTCGATTTAAAAATATTGAGGATAAAATTTTCGACGACGATTAATAATAATTATGAAATGAAGAAAATAAATTAAAAATTAAATTCATTAGAATACACTTTTATTGAATAGAAGATTAAAAAAATTTTGTAATAAATTTTGAATATGAACGAAAAATGTAGGTCATCGTCTATAAAACAGAAACACTTGTTCGAGTGAATTTTAATTTAGCTGTCGAGCAAGATTTATTAAGATTTATTAAAATAAAAATATCATCAACGTATTATCCAGATGTTATTATTTATAGATGTTACGTCGGACAATTTTTCTGACTTCACGGTTAATAATTGCAAAATGTGCGTGATTTAATTATTTACATTTTTTCTGATTTACAACCATGTCATATTAGATACATAAAAGTTTAATATGACGTTGGTTTTATGAAAGAAAGGAACAAAAAAAAAAAAAAAAAAAAAAAAGTGACGCGAATTAAATTTGACATTTTCAAATAGTGTTTAACATTTTTCTAATAATAACAACAATAGAAAAATAATTAATGATAATATAAATTATAATGATAGTAATAATTATTATTATTTATTTATTTAACTTTCGACGCGGACAAAAAATGTTCTTAGCAGAAAAAACATTATAAACTAAAGAAAGTGGTAAAATAAATTTCTTATTTTTATTATCATAAAATTGGGTTTTCTAAAAGGATTTTCAATAGTTTAATATTTTTAATTTTTTATTACTATTATTTAGTATTAATTGATTATTTCAGGAATATTAGCTTTTTCTTGAATGAAAAATTTGAAAATAAGGTATATTTTATCAAGTGCAGAATTTATTTATGATTATAAAAAAAAACTTAATAATAAAGGAAACAGGTTAACAAAACATTGATAAAACAAGAATTGTTCATGTTGATAAAAAGTTTATCGTTGTCATCATTAAAATTTACAAGTTACTCACGTATTGACGGGAGATTAAGTATTGTTATTATAAAAATAAAATACCAATAGACGTTCCTCGGTTGCTATTCTTGAAAAGAAATTTCAATTTTCGCGCATTTTCTCTCTTTATTTCTATCATAAATAAATTTATAATTTATTAATTATCAAGTGAATTTCTAATTTATTAATTCTTAATTAATTAAATTTACAATTGATTTTTACTTATTAATTAAAATTCGTAATTTATTAATTCTTAACTCAATCTGTAATTAATTAAATTTATAATGTATCTTTTTTTATAATTTCTTAATTTAATAAATTAACAAACTTATACATTTAACAAATTTATAATTTTTTATTTTTAGAATTTTTCGATTTTCTTAATTCCCTCAGAATTTTTACATTAACAGGATTTTCTCAGAACAGGGGAATAAGTAAAGTATGAAAACTTTGTCCAAAAAAATATCAAATTATTCAAAATCTTAAATAGTCTATGAATTTTCTTCCTTAAATTAAAAAAAAATCATGAGTAGTTGCAGTTTTTCGAAATAATCAATTATTTATTTTTCTATTTGAGTAATTCAATTCTCATACAACTTTTTGATAAAAGAGAATTGATTTGAAAAAGAATTTCAGTTCAAATTTTAGAAAACATTTCAAGAATTGCAGTTCTAATTTTAAATAAATTTCAAAAGGTTGCAAGTATTTTAGAATTTTAATTCCGGCTGGACAAATAAATAACAATATGTATTCAAATATTTAATAAACAAAAATTAATTAAATTTCACAAATTTTATTTAGAAATTCGGAAAAAATTAGGTTTTTGAAAAATCGTAATTAAAATTTTTAGAAAATAGTTAAATTCCTAAAAATATAATGTTAAAAATTTGAAAAAATAGATAATTTTCTCAAAGTTTATTTAAAAAAATGTTGTATTTCAAAGAATTTTATTTTTTCACTAAAATAAATTATTTTAAAATTATATTATAATATTTTTTGAAGAATAAATTGTAAATAGAAATTTAAAAATAATTAAATTTTTAAACAATTTTTTTATTTAAATAATTCAATTATTGTTGAATTTTAATGAAAATTGACTTAAAAATGAATTTCAGTTAAAATTTTTTGAAAAATAATTGAATATTAGAAGGATTATAACAGGAATTTTAAGAAATAATTTAATTTTAAAAGGTTTTTTAATTCTAACAAGGAATTGACTTTTGGAAAAATTGGAATTGTAAGTTTTTTAAAAATTGTAATTAACATTTTTTTTAAGATAATTGAATTGAAAATAATTTAATTCTTGGCAAGCTTTTTATTAAAATTCTTTAAAATAATTGAATTGTTTTAAAGAATTTATTTCAATTTTCTTGAAAATAATGAAGTTTTTTTAATAATTTTAATTGAAAATTTTGAAAATAATTAAAATTCACAAAGAATTGTATTAAAAACCTTTTTAGGACAATTGAAATATTTAGAAAAATTTTATTACAATTTTTAAAAATAATTGAACCTTTTAGAGAAATTTTATTATAAAATTATCTTGAATAGAATTTGAATTGAATTTTTATCTAGAAATTTTATTAAAATTGTATTGAAATTAATTTAATTTCTCAGAAGAATTTTATTATTTACAAAAATAATTGAATTGTTGACAAGAATTTTACAATTTTTAAAGTAATTGAATTGTTTCGAAGAATTTTAGCAGAATTGTTGAAAATAATTGAATTTTTATTAAAACTCTTAAAAATAATTGAATATAAATAATATTTTTAAAAATAATTGTATATTGAAAATAATTGAATTCCTCAGAAACATTTTATTATATATATGAAAATAATTGAATTCCTTTGAAGAATTTTCTTATTTATGAAAATAATTGAATTTTTGTTGAGAATTTTACAATTCATAAAAATAATTGAATTGTTTCGAAGAATTTTATCAGAATTGTTCAAAATAATTGAATTTTTCCGAAGAATTTTATTATTTATAAAGATAATTGAATTCTGGAGAATTTCAAGAAAATTAAAAAAATTTATTGAATTCTTTTGAGAAATATTTTTAAAATTATATTGAAAATAATTGAATTTCTGCGAAGAATTTTATATTCATAAAAATAATTGAATTCTGGAGAATTTCAGTGAAATTTTTAAAATTTATTAAATTCTTTTGAGAAATATTTTTAATATTGAATTGAAAATAATTGAATTTCTCAGGAAAATTTTATTATTTATAAAAATAATTGGATTCCTATTTGTAAGAATTTTATTATTTATGAAAATAATTGAATTCCTTTGAAGAATTTTATTATTTATGAAAATATTTTAATCTTGCGAAGAATTCTCTTATTTATGAAAAAATAATTGAATTCTTGCGGACGATTTTACAATTCACAAAAATAATTGAATATTATTTCGAAGAATTTTATATGAATTCTTGAAATTGTATAAAATTTTTTCATTTACAAAATAATAATAAATGGAATACCGCTATTTTGTAAATTAATATTTTTTTAATTTAATAAATTAATGTTTTTTAAATTTAATATATTACTCGTTTATTAATTTAATGAATTTCTAATTTGTTTATCATTAAAATTTTTCGATTTTTCTTCAAATTGTTCCTTTTTGTAATGGAATGGGAATTTTAGAAAATTTATTATTATTATTATTGTTATTAATTGTGAAAAATTAATTTTCCTCCAGAATACGAGCTGTGGAGAAAGAGTAGTCGTTTCGTATAGAAAAATTGCGAAAAAAAAGAATGTTTTGAAAAAAAGGAAGTGAATTGTAATGACGAAAAAAGAAGAAAATGACGACAGTAGACAACGAAAGTGACGAATACAATATTCGAACCTTGAGTACAATAACAAATGCAATAATCCAAAGAATCTTGATATGATGACCATGACAAATAAGCATATATACCTCAACATCACATAATTATTGTGCAAGTAACACAATTTTTTTTTCTACATATATACAAGAAAAACTTGAGCAATTTTTTACCTTCTTTCAATGTTTTTTTTTTCCAGTATTTCGGGTGAAAGGAAATTTTAGACAACCGGTTTCTATATACGTTTTAAAGGGAATATATAAGCGCAGTAGTGGGAAGCTATTGTGGAAGAAAAGCAAACATATACAGGTGTTTATTAGTGTTAGAAGAGGAGTTAGCCGAGTATTTGTGCAATAGAGGGGAGAAGAGAGAGGGGACTTTCCATGTCTGTGTCCCTGATATGGCCTGGCATCGTGCTTGTGTAAGAGATTTCGAGAGAGAAAGAGAGTGGGGGGAGAGCGAGCAGATAGCGCGAGAGAGAATCAAGAGAGAGAGGGAGAGCGCGAGTTTACAAGGAGAGGAGAGGAGAGGCGCTGGATAAGAAAAAGACAAACAGAATCATGCCATTCGCGCGGCGTGTTCGTTTTCGCTGTTGTGTGTGCACTCCGGAGAGAGAACAGAAAATAGAGAAGTGAACAAACGTTAGTCAATCCTACCAATAAGTGGCATCAACAGTAATTTTTTACATTTCTTGTGTAACGTCAGAGGAAGAAAAAGAAGAAGAAGAAAAAAAGGAAAAGAGGAGAATATTTTCTTCAGAGTGTGGAAGACACATTTTTTCCCCTGTAAATAAAAGAAGACTTTTTACTCCAAAAAAAAGAGGAATATTCCTCTGATTTTGTGAATTTTCTTCTTCTGCACAATTTCGAGTTATTGACGTTGAGTTTAGTACAGTTAATCAAGGCTAACTGTCGTCATACATGAAAGCATGATAAGAAATTGAGTTCAAGAAATATCAATCGGATTTTATTTCTGGTTTCTTTTCTCGGAAGGACAATTTGACAATTTGGAAAATTTTAAAGAACTTTGTAAACTGAGAAACAAGTTAAAAAGTGAGAAAATTACAAAAAAAAATTAAAAACCATAATTTAAAGAATCTTTGTGGGGGAAAAGCATTGTCTCAAGGGACTTTTGTTTTCGTCGAAAAAAAAAGTGTTACCTTTATGAACTGAATTTGTTATCAAGTGTGGTGGCAAAAGGGAGACTTGACAATAACAAAAAAAGAAGAAAAAAAACAATATTCAAGTTGCGCATGTTCAACGAAGAAATAGGCTGCACGGTCATGCTCTTTAAAGGCAATTTTAACTGTACTTTTGTGCCGAGCGAAAAAAAAGTCTAATTGTACCTCAAGTTTTCACGGAACTTGTCCTTCAGCCTTCTCTCTCTCTCTCTTTTCCTAAGTTCCTTGATATGTCAGACAAAAGGTGTTAAAGCGCAACTATTTTTTCCCCCTGAAAAAATTGTTTGTTTAGAAAAATTTGTTTTGTATACAAAAAAAGACCAAAAATTCTCGAAAACCGGAAAAATTGAAATCGAATCGAAAAGTTGTTTTGGAGAAATTGGAAATTATTTCTGCTGCATTTTATTTTATCCAGTGGAACGAGGAAGTTCCGAATAAAGGAGAAAAGACAGGTTTTTGTTTTTTAAAATTAGAAATTTCTTCCTTTGGATCTGAAGGGCAAATGGAAGGAGGAAGAAAATAGAGAAAATTCAGGAAATATTGGAAAAAAAGAAGAGGAAATTCAGATTTTAATCCAAGGATTAGTATTTTAATCGAAGACAAAAAGAAAATTTGTTTTTAGAAAAGAAAATTGTTTTTTGAAAATAATACAGTCGGAGCTTTAAAAGCAGAAAAAAGTATAAAGTGTGAAAAGGAAAAAAATAAGTGGCACAAAAGTGTAAAATATTAAAAGCAAAAAGTATAAAGAGTAAAAAGTACGAAAAAGCAAAAAGTATAAGGAGCGAAAAGTATAAAAAGCAAATAATACAAAGAAGCAAAAAATATAAGGAGTAAAAAGCAAGAAGTAAAACAGTAAAAACTATAAAAAAGTATAAAGTATAAAAAGCAAATGATACAAAAAGTAAAATGCAAAGAGTGTAAAAAGTATAAAGTGTAAAATATAAAAAGAGTTTAAAGGATAAGCAAAAAGTATAGAGTGTAAAATCTAAAGTGTTAAAAGCAAAAAGTATAAAGAGTAAAAAGTAAAAAGTGTAAAATATAAAGTATGAAATGTAAAGTGTAAAATATAGAAAGTACAAAATAGAAAAAGTGTAAAGAAAAAAGTGTTTAACGCCAAAAAGTGCAACTGCATTTGACTGCATGGATTTAAGGAGTAGAATATTTTCCACGGAATCAAAAAAGAGAAACACAATTGCATGAACAATAATGAATCTTCTTCATTTGGCGAATCCATCAAAATTTTCATACTGGCGACTGAAAATCAACTTTGGCTGTAACGGTACCTGACACACAAGGAAGTTACTCTTATTTTAACTTGTTGCTACCGCCTGCCTTCCTTCCTTCTGTTGTTACTCAATGACTAAATATGAAAGTGTACGCGTAATTATTTCAACAACAATAAAAAAAAATAACTCCTCGGAATAGAATCCAACCAAAAATTTGACAATTCAAACAATAAAAATTATTGTTTTTTTGAAAGGAAAAATTGACAGTAATTTTAAAACTGTGATTTCGATTGTGATTTTAATTGTGATTTTTAGTTTGTGCTTGTTCGCTTTCAATTGGAATGATTTTCATATTTTGTGGACTGTCGTCTGCCCATGACGACAGGGTACTGACACCAATTGTCGCTAAGGAGAGGGTGGTGCAATCGGGACATTTAGCAAATTCTCTAAATACGATACAAAATTCATCGTCCGATTGTTGGCAATCGCCGTATACGACATTTCCACCGTTTTTTAGAAATAATAACAATAATAATAATAATAATAATAGTAACACTGTCCTACAATTGGAAGGATGTAAAGCACAATCTAGTGAAACAACGACCAAAAAATTTCTCAAATGGTTCAGCAGTAATAAATTGAATCAGTCATCGATCATTGAAAAATCAGGTATGACGTTTTTTTTTTTAACATTCTCATCCACATGAGAAAGTTGTATTTTTTTGATCGATATATATAGAAAACTTGTGATCTTTGTGATTGATGAGAGTTTTTTTTTTTTGAAAAGTATTCTACGTTTTATTTCGGTATTTTTACGTTTTTAACGAATTTATTTTGAAAAAATTTAATTTAGTTGAAAATTGAATCAATTAATTTGAAAGAAAATTAATTTAATTGAAAAATAAATCAATTTATTTGAAACAAAAGGAATTTAACTAAAAAATAAATCCATTTAATATTATTTGGAAAATAAAGCAATTTATTTGTAAATAAATGTATTTATTTTGGAAAATAAATCAATTTATTTGGAACAAAATTTATTTATTTACAAAATAAATCGGTTTATTTTAAAATTTTTTATTTATTTGAAAAATAAATTAATTTATTTGAAAATTGAGTAAATCAATTTTTAAGTAAAAAATTAATTTAAGGGCATTTGAACCTTGATGACGTCACACATGCTTTGCACAAAGTGTAACGTCATCAAGGTTCAAATGCCCTTAATTGAAAAATAAATCTACTTATTTGGATAAAGATTAATTTACTTGAAAAATAAATCAATTTATTTTGAAAAATATGTATTTTTTTGGAAAAAATTAATTTTATCGAAATTAGTTTATTTGAAAAAATTATTTTACTTGACAAATAAATAAATTTATTTGAAAAAAATTAATTTACTTGAAAAATAAATCAATTTATTTGAAAAAAATTAATTTACTTGAAAAACAAATCAATTTATTTGCAAAATAGATCTGTTTATTTGCAAAAAATTAAATTATGTGAAAAAAAAATTAATTTATTAATTAAAAAATAAATCAATTTATTGGGCAAAAATTTATTTATTTGAAAATTGAATAAATCAATTTGTAAGGAAAAAATTAATTTAATTGAAAAATAAATTTACTTATTATGGTAAACATTAATTTAATTGAAAAATAAATCAATTTATTTTTAAAAATATGTACTGTTTTGGAAAAAATTAATTTCTTTAGAACAAAAATTAATTATTTACATAATAAATCAATTTATTTATAAGAAAATTGATTTATTTAGAGAATAAAGCAATTTATTTGGAAAAAAATTAATTTATTTTGATCGAAATTATTTTATTTGGAAAAAATTAATTTATTAGTATTTTTTGTTTTTTCTTTTTGTTTAAATTTATTTTTACAATTTTTCTAGAAAAATTTTCGAATGAAAAAAAATTCCTCGATAATAAAAAAATTTTATTGGTCAGATTGAACATTAAATATATGAGACATGAGGAATTATTGCTGATGGACTTCAATCGATTGCAATTGAAAATAGTTTGATTAATTATTAATATTAGTAAATGATGAAAAAAATTTTATAACAAAATAATCTCTTTGTTATTAATTATTATTGATTTTTTAAATATTTACTCAGGATATAAAAATATTCTTTTGAGGCTATACAAAATTTTCATTTATTTATATTTTTAGACAAATATTAGACTTCAAAATAAGAAAAGATTTGTACCGTCAATAAATAAATAAATAAATAAAAAAATTTCAAAAATATTTTTTCTTCAAGAATTTTATACTTTTTGTATAACTTTTGTAATTTTAAACCTAAAATAATTTAACTTTTCCATAGAATTTTATTAAAATTTTTGAAAATAATTGAATTGTTATAAAGAATATTATTTTAATTTCTGAAAATATTTAAATTCTTTACAGGAATTTAATTACAATTTTAGTGAAAATAATTGAATTTTTCGAAAGAATTTTATTAAAATTTTCGAAAATAATTGGAATTTATTATTTATTTATAAAAATAATAGAATACCTTCAAAATGTTACATTGTTTAAGAAATTAATTTAATGTATGGAAAGAAATTTTTTTAAATTCCTGAAAATAATTGAATTGTTTAGAGAAATTTCATTATAAAATTATATTCAAAATAATTGAATTTTTGCGAAAAATTTTATTTTATACGAAAATAATTTAATTTTTTATTTATAAAAATAATTGAATTTCTCCGAAGAATTTTATTATTTATAAAGATAATTGAATTTCAATGAAAAATTTTATTATTTATAAAAATAATTGAATTCTGGGGAATTTCTTTAAAATTAATTGAATTATTTTGAGAAATATTATTAAAATTTTATTGAAAATAATTGACTTTCTGCGAAGAATTTTATATTTATAAAAATAATTGATTTTCTGCAAAGAATTTTATTATTTCTAAAAATAATTGAATTCTGGAGAATTTTAGTGAAATTTTTTAAAATTTATTAAATTATTTTGAGAAATATTATTATTGTATTGAAAATAATTGAATTTTGGAGAATTTCATTTAAATTTTTGAAAATAATTGAATTTTTTCAAGAAATTCTATAATTTTATTATTATTGATGATTATTATTCTATAATAATATTAATACTAAAAAAAATTACTGACAATGCATTTAGAAAAAACCTTTTTATATAAAAAATATAATATAAGTGAATTTATTTATACTCTTTTTAAGTATTTTCGATTTAAGTTTTCGATTAAGTCAAAGTTTTCTTCGACTTTTCAAACACTTTTTTTTTTTCATTGATGATAAAATCGTAATTTTTCCTTTTTTTTTAATTAACATATAGCAAGTTCTGCATTGCAGATACGTTGCGTGATACTTTAACGATCTTATATACTTTAATACAAATCACATGCTAAATATGCATGTAAACAAATTTAACTAAAAAAAGAAGATATCAAAATTCAACTTAAAGACGAACAATGCAAAAGTTGCACCGTAAAAACTGCATTTATAACGAAATAATAATATTTAATATTTTTTTTAATTTTGTACTGTTCTTATCATTAATAATTAATGAATAAATAAATATTAAAAATAAATAGAGTATTAAACTTGTTTTTTGAAACCGTATAATTAAAAATAGTTCTTCAATTATTAAATATCAGGCAAAAATTGATTTTCTATGTTAAAAAAAAGGGGGAAAATAAATTATGCATGAGATTTGTATGACCTTCTTATTTTTGGAGGGTAAAATTTTTCTCTTTATATTTACTTTTATTTTCCAACGAATACTAAATCGGATCAAATAATAAATAATTGATAATAATTTTATTTTAAATATAATATTTTTATTTATTTGAATAAAAATGTTTTTTTATTATTCAGGGTTGCTACGCAAACTAGAAACCTGAAAAACCTGGAAAAATCAGGGAATTTTGATCGAAATCCTGGAAAATTGTTGTTTTCTAAAGTTATTGTGTTTATTCTTGAAATCTAATTTCAAAATTCAATTTTAAAAGAATTGCGTTTACAATTTTCATAAGTAGATGAACTTCAAAAGATTTGGATTTAAAATTTTGTAAAATTTCAATTTTTAATGAATTTAATTAGAAATATAAAAAAAAACTTAGATTTAAAAAAAATTTTAGAAACTAAAATTCTTCTGAAATTAGTTAAATTTTTTAATATATATTTAATTGATTATTAAAAATAATGGATTTGTAAAAGAATTTTAGTTAAAAACACTAAAACAAATTGAATTTTGAAGCAGTTATACAAAAATAATTTCACATAATATTTTCAAGCAAAAAAAAATTTCACACGAATTCAATTATTTTTATAAATAACAACATTTTTACAGGTATTCAATTATTTTCATAAATAATAAAACTTAATGCTGAATTTCAATTATTTTTAATACAATTTTAATGGAATTCTCGAAAAAAATTATTATTCTTAAAAATTTTATTAAATTTTAATAAAATTCCTTGCGTAACAATTCAATTTTTTTCAAAATAATTTCATAAAAATAATTATTTCGAAGAATTTTATCTGAATTTTTGAAGAAATTTTATTAAAAATTTTAAAAATAATGATTTTTTTAAAAGAGTTTCATCAAAATTGTCGAAATAATTGAAATTTACAAAGAACTTTATTAAAAACTTTTAAGAACAATAATTTAATTGTTTAGAAAAATTTTATTACAGTTTTTAAAAATAATTGAACCTGTTAGAGAAATTTTATTAAAATTATCTTCAATATAATTGAATTTTTACCTAAAAATTTTATTAATATTGTATTGAAAGTAATTGAATTTCTCAAAAGAATTTTATTATTTACAAAAATAATTGAATTCTTGACAAGAATTTTACAATTTATAAATATAATTATTGAATTGTTTCGAAGAATTTCATCAGAATTGTTGAAAATAATTGAATTTTTATTAAAACTCATGAAAATACTTGAATTTAAATAATATTTTTAAAAATAATTGTATTCTTTCGAGAAATTTTATTAAAATTGTATTGAAAATAATTGAATTCCTTTGTAGAATATTATTATTTATGAAAATATTTTAATCTTGAGAGGAATTTTTTTATTTTGAAAATAATTAAGTCCCTGAAGTTGCAATCGATGCTCAGCATCGAAAAATATTTTTTGTACGAAACGGAAGAAAATGACCTTTGCTACAATTTATTTATTAGAATTTACATAAGTATTATTTTCAATATATTTTTAATTAAATTTCTTTAAAAAATAAAATTATTTTCAATAATTTTAATGAAATTCCTTGCGTAACGATTTAATTTTTTTCAAAATAATTTTAATAAAATTCTTCGCAGAAATCCAATTATGTTTAAAATTTTACAAAAATTATGTAGTTTTTAATTTCTAATACATTTAATATTTTAATTGAAGAATGTCAGAATAATCGAAATTTTGTAAAATTAAATCGTAAACAAAAGAATTTGAAAATTTACAAAGAACTTTTTCGAAAATTATTTTTAAAAAAATAATATTTAAATATTTGTTTAAAAATGAAGTATTACAACACTCGAGTGTAATGTTGATTAAATTATTTTCAAAAGTCACAATGTTGATAATTCAAAGTAAAAAGAAGTTCTAAACAAAGAAAGCGGAAGAATTCTTTAAAAAAAAAAAAATATGTTTTATTAAACA